CTAGTGGTCCCGCAATAGTCGAGATTAGACTATACCTATAATTAATTGAAATTATAAGTTTGAACATTATTACGGTTCTATTGTCAAAGACTATTATTATACTTCTATAATCACAGACTTGCCAAGATTACACTATAAACAAATAAACAATATTAACCTATTCTCAACTTGACCACAGACTAACAGAGCAACAAAAGTTTGACAATAAACATAGAGTATACATATTAGTGTGTGTCAAATACATGGTAGTGTGTATAATGTTTTCTTTATTGATTTAATGTATCTTTTATGCATTATTTAAAAAAAAATATTAGCATTATGCAGTTCCTCTCTATATTCACTATAAGTATGGAAAATTTCATACTCCTCCGTCCGCGCAATTTTCGTAAAAAGGGATACAAAGTTTTTGCTTCACGTATTAGATAATGCGAGTTCAGATTTAAGTTTAGTAAAGTCTTAATTACGTTGCGTGCTTATCTATGTTGCACGTCGTTGTCGAACGCTAACCAGAATTTGATATCCAAGTTTGCCCAAGTTTCAGTATGAGTGCTGCTATCCGCTTTGTTGTGTTGAGAGAGCTCTCGTTGGCATCGAAGGGTTTGTTTGTAAGATAAGTTGTCTGTTTCGGAACGATTAGTTTTTCCTTCAGTTTATTACATGGTTATTCATTTTAGAAATAATCTATAGATATATATACAAATGAATTGCTGTTCGTTAGTCTCGCTAAAACACGAGAACGGCTGGACTGATTTAGCTAATTTTGGTAAACAATAGCCTAAAGATTGACGCTAATCACTGGCTCGATTACCCCCTCGTCTTTCAATTAACAATCGCCTCACTCACAAAGCAAACTTAAATAGCATTTGGCGTGTACCAGTACACTACGTCGATCACTCAATTGTAAGTAGCTTTGCTTAGGAACAGGTATAAAAACTGTAATCTTTAATTTCACCTTGGCTTTAATTGGTCAGTAACTTAATTGGATAAAGTAAAACTAGCCGTGGACGTTATTTCATGGCTTAATATTCATTACCGAGCTCTGAATTTTGTGTTTATTGTCGAATTTATATAAGGACCGTTTGTGTTTTATTTTTATTTATTTATTTGTACTATTTAGTTGTCGTATTATTTACGTAACATTTAAAAAAATCTATTTAAAATTATGTGCTTCACGAGAATTGGTATCTCAAGGATATTTGAATGATTTGATACAATAAAATAAACGGGTGTCTTGAGGGCCATACAAAAATACTACTGTGGACTTGTAGTAAAATTAAGGTGTAATTGCCCTCATATATAGTCCATTTTTCAGTATAGACAATTGATTACATGACATGACGTGATTCTCAAAATAATATTAAAATCGTCATCTTACGTGCTATGGTTACAGGCTGCTTTCAAACCCGAACAAATGAGTACTGGATAATCGAACCCTACGCTGTATGTAAATGTACCTTTAAAATCGTGATAAACAGTTTATTAGATAAATGAGTTAAGCAACTTTCAAACGGGCGTGGGAATTATTCAATTGACTTTCCAATAAAAAAAATTAAAAGTATATTTTCAGTTTCAAATGACAGCCTGCGGCAATCTAGTGTTAAGTTTTTTAGTTAGAGCTAATGAAAATCACGAGCTGGATAGCATCACCGGCTTTAATGCGATCGACATCTCACTTGCTTTATAAAGAATTTATTGACACTGCTACCGGAATAAATTTATTCTGGGTATATTTTGGTGTCAATGAATAATGGGAATAAGGAGAAATTAATGAAAACACCTGTAACTTATATAAGAATTATTTGGACGCCCGTAGGCAAGAGAACTGTACAGTATTTGAAATATCGGAAATAATACAAAGACAATAGTATATACAAGATTAAAGCGTAAAAGTAGTTTTAATCGTATGGTTATACCAATGACCATAATAATACTCCATTACCACAATGCAATTTAGAGCAAAAATTTAGAGAAGAAATAGAAAGATACATTGGAGTTAAGGCAGATCAATGTAAGATGAGAGAGGCCTCAGAAAGGGGTTCAGAAGTGGACGTCCTAGGGCTGCTGATGATGATGATGACGGTGATGATTATATAGAAAGCTTACCAGAGATTTTCAGAGTAAAAGTATATGGACAAAGTTTAGAAAAAGTTAAAAGGCTATTTATAAATGAGCTACAAAAGTTGCTTAGAATCCACATAGGGCACCTCGGAACTATGGAGCTCCTGTGCAAGATGAACCTGACGTGACCATGCAGTCTGCCGTCTTCTGTACGGAGGGAATGGTAACTATATCTTAAATAATTAATTAACTCTTAAAGATTAAAAACGGACAGTCAGAACTGCCCCTATCTCGAAATCAGCTATTGCCAGACTCATACGGGCGGCGTTTGGCAATGAGGAGTTGAGGACACAAAAGATCTTAAGGGGTGCCGTATTGGGCAAATATTTAAGAATAATTTTCTTTTAAATAGAAAATATTATCATTTTTTTTATTTATTAGAATCAACTTTTTATCAAATGTATACTTAAGGATCACGATTCACTTGACCAACGGATTACGGGAGCCAATATTTTATCAATATCCCAGTTCCAAAGATGCCAACAAGCCTGAAATTTAGTGGTATTCAGATAAGTATTTTTGAATGAAGTAGGGTTTCTTGAAGCACGTACGGAAAAGGAACCACTGTTCTTTATATTTGTTCCACGAGACAGTAATGCTTTCTATTAGAAAACAAGTTGATAAAATAATTAAGCTTAGTTAACACTATATATATTTTTTATCACGTAGAAACTTTTTGGATTGATTAATTACAAAAATGAACGACCTATATTAAGTATCATATCTCATGTAAATTCCTGTGGTCATTTAATTCGTTACGTAGCAACGTTCTTATTTTTTTACTGAAACATTGATGTATGCATATATCATAAAATAAATGTCAAGCCCAGTTTGAGAAATCAAGTTTTAGTTGCAAGCATTGCATTAATATGGTATATATGTACCAAACGAAACCCGCACAAGTGGACCTCCAAATCCGGTAAATTTTTTTCGGGGAGCGTACCCGGATTTCTTTAGTAAAAATATAAATAAAACCGAAAGGCAAAATGATATAGCTATCAGATCTAAAGAAGTTGTTATATTATTATCTTTGAGTGATTACTATTACATATTAATAGTCAGTTCACGGTTAAATTGTCATAGCCATCATTTCTTACTGATGTCTTTCCATAAATTATATCTTTAATGAAGATCGCTGAGCTCTGATGAGCCCACATGGATTATTATCTCTAAGCTCACGATTCACCTGAGATAAAGTATTTAGTTATAGAAGCCTATAGACAACACAATGGGAATCCGGCTACACCGGGTCGAACTTCCCTACTCTTCCTTATCATTCAATACATTATAATATTATTATATATATATATGAAGTTTACGCGATCTAATTTGTAAGTTCGAACTAAGCACACAAGTGGGCTATCTACCTCTGTGTACACAAGATTGCGGACTCATTTATGTAGCATATAAGCTATCCCACCCATCGTACCAGAATGCACGATTACGTCCCGGCCTACATAGATGGGCTGGTAGTAATTACCTCCGCGGCCTTTCAATATGCTCTACTATTTTTTATTTATGGCTTAGATCGGTGGACGAGCTTACGACATACCTGGTGTTAAGTGGCCACCGTTGCCAGGAGTTCTAAATCTGAGTTTTTAAAGCCGAAACGCATTACTGATCCACGGCAGAAATAGGCGGGGTTGTGGTACCCATCCGTGCGGGCTCACAAGATATCCTACCGCCATTACTATCGGTAGCATGTCATCATAATAAGAAATTCGAGTAAAATGGATTTCTTTTTATGAAGTTTTATCCGCTTATTTCAATGCTTAAATAATTTTTCTAATAAATTCTATCAGGTATTTACTGAAAATTATTTACAATTCCCTTACGCACGAATTAGTCATTATGTACATTTTATGACGTTAATAAAATAGATGAAGTAAGAATAAAAACTGACGAAATATAATCCAAATAATCCGTTCGACAAATAATCCGTTCCCCGAGTCAAGATATCTGTTTAAAATATTTAATATTTTTTTCTCTGGGTGTCCCGCCTCTTTTCTTGTAAATATATTCTCAGTATCTGCAGCACAAAACTAATCGCATCGAATCCTCATAGACAGGATTAGAAAATACTTTTATTACGCAAGACGTTTCGACTTTCAGCTAATTTACGAAGAAAAAAAAAGGTCGTTCCAAAAACGCGTTCATTTGAGATATCTAAATATTGAATACATCCAACGAATGAGCAAATTTTGGGACTGCGCATGAACAAGCCAGTTTTTTGGGCATTTGCATATTTATCAGTTGACGCAGTGAAAACGTTATTACCTGAGATCCTACATGACGCCAGTTAATTATGCTAATCGAATCTTGTCACGGTAAATTTTGAATATATTCTGAGACAATTTTATCTGAGAGGAATATTCATTTAATATATTAAAGCAATTATGTTGGAAGCGTCGTAATTCAAAATTAAGTTATTAATAACATGCAGAATTATTAATAGCATGTAGATTAGTCTAGGATCTATCTACCTTACCGTTAGTGATTACCGTCGCTCAGACCGTGGACATAACAATGCCACGGGCACCGTGACCAGGCTGTGCTGATTTTATAATAAATAAAAATGAACTTTAAATTTTATATCAAGCAGTTTAAAATTCTAGAATAAAATATTTAGTTGTTACTTTACACTTTTAAGAAGTTAGCCACAACTTAAACTAAAGTTTATTTTGCAAAAAGGAAAATAGAAAACTGTGCACGTTGCGTGGTCTCCCCCCAAAAAGAAAAATAATAACGTTGTCATACATCGTAAATCTAATGCATTCCATTTTATTGCCCTGCCGAGATTTACGATCGTCTCAGGTTATCGGAGAACCTTGCTAAAGTTTGGCGAAGATTTAACGGTATAGCGATAGTTAAAAAAGACTCACGCTACATGATCAACTTGGGGTAGGAAGGTAGCCGCTAACGCCAGCAGAAGCGGCGCGGTGCGGGGCTTGGCGCCGCTCATGACGTGTTCGGTAGGCGCATGAGAGCGTGGCGTGGCGCGAGGTTGTTGACGCCCACCACTCGCCGGCGGTGTCGCGTGGCGAACTGACTGGGAGGCCGACGGCAACGAGCTTAATGCTTGTTCGCTTGCTTGTGCTCCCGCCGCGTCACTATCGATCGCAGCAGGCGTGACCCGGGCCAGCACCGCCTGTCGCTCGAGCTATCGACCGTCGCGCCGCAACCGATGCGACGCGTACTCACCTCCTAATTACCGACTCGACTGGACTCCTTGGCGTTAAAACTTCAAACCTGCGCACGACACCGTCGAAAACAAATCTCACTTGATTTAACTGAGCAACTTCCAACTTTGTTCTTAATGAGTGAGGCCCGCAAACAATGGTTATGGTAATTCAGTTGGATTACATTTTCTTTTTGTTGAGGTTTTCTGAAACAATAATCTCAATTATATGTATTTACATTTTTTTTAAATCACCACGTGGAGAATCTAACGAAATGATTGATATGAAAATTAGTAGATTGTATCTTCTTAATTTGTAGATTTAACATATGAAAAGTTCTTTAAGAGGAATTCCAAATGTTTATTAGCGTACTTTTTTTTTAATTAGTAAGGTTAATTGTGTTCAAAGCTGCTCAGATCTTTAGCATGTTTTTAACTGTTTTAGAGCCTATTCTCTCATATCGATCAGACTTTTGTTAGCTAAGGCCAGCTATTAATTTGCTTAATATCTCGATACAAGCATTTAAAGCTCACTGTTAAATTGCCATAATATTTTGTTGAATATAATTGGAATTTCTATTATTATCATGTTTTCTGTATACTATATAATTTTTTTTGTGGTTTAAATATACGGTTTTTCAATAGGGACGCTCGAACTTTGACAGCTCATAGCGGCCATCTTAGTAAAGTGATAGCTGTCAAATTTGGCATGCACACATATTTTGTCGTGACATTTCATCATGGAACGATACACGCTTGTCCGGCGGTATCATGGGCCCTTATTTATTCGAATTCTCATTTTTTCTTTGAAGATGTGCTAGGACTCGCCCTCACTGTCAATGGCGACTAATATCGGACGATGATCATAAAGTTTTTGTGGGCTAAGATAGACGGTATGGATCTCAAAAATATATAGCTCCAACAGGACGACGTCACTTGCTATGCAGTATGGGAAACATTAAATTTATTGGATGAGAAATTCGAAGGCTTCGTCATCTTGCGTGGTGATGATATCAATCTAGCCGTGCGCCCTCACAAAACGCCCTACCACCAGTAAAAAATAAAATACAAAAATTATCGTTTTCACATTAAACCTCTTAGTTTATATATAGTTCCTCGTACATTATCGGATTTAAAATATGTTCACTACGCGTAAGCCACACAACGCTGTATAGTTTCATTATGTATTTTACACGAAGCATGCATCGCGCTGCTGAATCTCATAAATATTATAATTTCGAACTGTATAGTAGCAATGGAGCTTTAATATCGATCAACAGGGTTGTCTACTTCTTATATTTACATTATTTAACACTAAAATTAAACACAAAATAAGCCGTTCCTGTTAGAATTGAAATTATAATATGTAAAATGAGTTTAAATTATGCTTTAGATTGATTTAAATATGAGTCCAGGCGCCGGCGCATTAATGACGCCATTATATTTTTATTCACCATATTCACCATTATATGCCTATTCACGCATTGTTTTTTACGTTAACATTGTTACGCATTAATTGCTTTCTCCGCTAAATTTTAAAATATACTGAATTATTCTATACTGAAGAGAAATGTAAATTTTGATTAACAAAGTTAATTGTAGCACTTATCTGGGCAAGCTTATAGGCCACCTGGTGTTAAGCGGTTCCGGAAGGCCAAAAACGTCGCGTGTCGTAAAAATCACCATTGAAATTCTTGATAAAATATATGTATACATATGTATGTGCCAGCTATCCTATTGTTTTCGAAGTTACAAATATTCACAATTGATTTGCGTTGAATATCATGCCTCGCAGAAATTTGTATGCTACCTTCCCACGATTCGACATTTACGCTACCGGCCATTATCGATTTAGGGATCGGTATGTCTTTGAAAAATACAGCTACGGCTACGTTTGTTGGGAAGTGCTACGTAATCCGTAGCGGAAAGTAAGTGAGTGCTACACAGAGCTCAGATTCCGATGCTACACCACTTCTTAATTATGTAAAAGTAAGATTCTAAATCCAATTTACCTATGTATTATATTTAATTTAGTATTGTTGTTTACTATAAAAAATTATATTATACGGCAAGGCTTCTAATTTATTAATCGCGTGAGAAGTTTTTCACATTTCATCGCTAATATAACTGAAGTGGCCACGTAGGTTGCGTCAAGCTTGAAATAGTCTAGTTATTTTTTCTGTTTAGTTAATTGTTCGCGTTTGTGAATGAACCACAGAAATTGTGAATTAAAGCATTTTTTGTTAGAACAACAACTCCATTTATATTTTACTTGTAAATAATGTCCAATATTTTTTCACTTAATTCATAATTAAACTTTACGATAATTTGTTCGCTTTTTCCGCACTATTGTCAATGTTACTAATTCGGACTTGAAGAGTGTGAGCGCGAGTGAGTGTGTGAGAGAATTCGACCTCATATCTCAAGATGGGTGGTGACATTCACTTCGCGATTTTACCATAGCGTCTGGTAACTATTTACCATCAGATGGGATGTGAGATAGTACACCCGTTTAAGCAATACAAAACATTTGAAGGAACACTCAAGTGTCATGTAAAGTGAATATATTTGTGACCTACTTTCGTGGGTTACCCTAAACCTTAGAACACAATATCAAACTATTTATATAGAACGTCCAATGCTCGAGTCGAACCATCGCTTTATCTTTACCCCGACAACTCTTCTCGGTGTTATTCCAAACGTTTGCTATCATAATAATATATCGTAAACCTATGATATAGTTCAACAATACGTAATCTATCGCTGTACTAAAAATGTATATTCGTGCTGTGCTTATATATTATCCAATTGGTCTTGTTTTTGCGCATTTGCACGTCTACGCTTAAATTCATTTTCGGGATTCACTTATAAAAATAAATCTACTGAAAATACAGGTAATAATAATTATTTATTGCTTAATTGTTTATTCCGATGACATTGTTATTGATTTAAACTCGTAACGAAAAAAAAATACTTCACATAAATACAGAAAGAAGAACTCTCGGTAGATATGTCGATACTCTCAAAATAATTGGTCGCTTTACAAGATGTATTCGATGTACAAAATAAACAATAAAATGGAGATGGAATGGGAAAATTGCCGATTATACTTTACAAACGAAATAAGTACGTGTCGAGCACAGTATTTTAGAGATCAATCGTTGAATGGTTTGTGATCGACGAAAAATTCGAAATTCAATTATTGTATTCTAGGTTCATACTCCAGATGTAAACTCTGCCCGATCAAGGATCTCCTTTCTGTTGTACCATCCCTACTTTTACACAGGCTTTTGCTCTCAGAATTACTAGACGATCGAGATGACGATTATTTATTTATATAATTTAATTAAGGAGACGTGCATTGTAAAATATTTTAAAGCAATTTTTTTTTATTGCTTTGTTAGGACGAACTCACAGTCCACCTAGTGTTAAGTCGTTACTGGAGCCCATAGATATCCACAACGTAAATGCGCCACCCACCTTGAGATATAAGTTCTAAGGTCTCAGTATAGTTACAACGGCTGCTCCACCCTTCAAACCGAAACGCATTACTGCTTCACGGCAGAAATAGGCAGGGCGGTGGTACCCACCCGCGCGGACTCACAAGAGGTCCTACCACCAGTAATAAAATTTAAAAACATAACTAGACATGGAAATGTTTTATCTGAATGTAAAGACAATATTAACAACGTACTTATACTTGTGACGTCTGAAAAATGAAAATTAAAAATATTACATTGAATAAAAGTGAACGTTTATTTTAGGTAAGTTCTCTTAGGGGAAATTATGAGATTCGCGTTAAAGCCCCTAAAACACTGCTTTGATCCTCTCCCAGATCGCAATTTTGCGGTTCACTTTGTGTACTTAAAGGCTATTGCAGTAGAAGGAATACGAATATTTATAAATGGTATGTTTATGGTTAAAGGTAATTTTATCTTTAGTTTTTTCTTGATATTTTAGCGCATGCTTACACGGTCGTCTTGGACATCAGAAATATCAAGGAAATAGCCTATGACGTAATAAAATGTTCATATTCAATACGTTAAATATTGATTGAAATAAATATTAATGTTTTCAACAGGCGGAAAATGAAAAAATATTCGTACTAGATAAAATGTTATATAAAGATGTATGCTAAAGAATAATAATAAAAAATAATAAAAATGTATAGTAATAAAAAATCAGATAGACAGTCACCTCAGGCGAAATTCCTAGGTGGTAGAAACAGCTGTCCAAGTACGCCTCTTCCAAGCAGTAATTATATTGTAAATTTTATGTTATTATGTTCATTGATTGCTATAATGGATCATAACATCGTATCTCATACCTACATTATTATCACATCTTTTGGAAAATTGTCTTAATAAATATTTATATTGACACTCAACGGCAAAATAATTTTATGACCCTATTATTAAAACAATAATTAATGTATAAATTTCAGTAATCGATTATTAGATTCTCACTCAATCTCAATATCAATATCTAAAATTAAACTGCAAAATTTTTATGCTTCCGGTAAGTAGAATAATTGTATGTTAGACACTGGTAGTTTAAGATTTAATAATTTTTTTTTAGAAAATGCTTGCGTAGCAATGATGTTTGTTTACTTGACAATTTTCCTTGGCTCCTTATTTTATGTGACCACTTTTAATGTTTCTTCACTATAAAAAACTAAATATTTAAATTTATTAATCGACTATATGCTTATTGAACATATATAGTTTAAAAAAGTGAAAGTCCAAAGCACTGATAGATCGAATATTGAACACAACAGAGATTCC